TAAGATTACAGCTACTTTGAGGTGCAGACACTGAAACAATTCTTAGCCTCGTCTAGTGTAAGGCCTCAGGTCTAAGTTGAAGTCTCCACTTCAAGGTAACAAGAAGTTCAAGTTTACTGTTTTTTTCCTTCAAGGGATTCCAAAGCTTTGATTCTCACCTTGAAAGTGCCCACTTGGCTTGGACTTTTCCTCTTTTGATAAATCCAAGAATCTGTCTAACTTCTTTCTGTATTTCCAATAATCCTACACCCTTTTTCATTGTTAAGGTTTTTGTTCCTTATAAACATTAGTGAGCATCACTACAGGGAGTCATGACATTTGAGTTTAGCAAGGGTGACCTGTCTGTGGCCTTAATCAGGATTCTGGGCAGGCATTTTACTTTGGGAATTGGATTATGGTTCATCACCACTCCACAGAAGCTGCAGCCATGTTACTATTGATAGGAAGAGGCAGTGAGGAACTGGGAGGCCATCTGCACTTCTGGAAGTGAACAAACATGAGATAATGAAAACTAAAGGAAAATGGTCCCTGGATTCTCTTTGGTGATTATTCTGGCAGAAGAAATGGAGGGAGAGACACACATGCATGGCTATGATCTGTTAAGAACATAGGGTAAGCATTAACATGGGGTATAAGCTAGTATGAGAGAATATGAGAAGGAGAAATTACTTATGACTCTGTAAGTTTTGCCTTTTGGTTCTTCTTTTGAGACAGTCTTGCTAGTAGCCTAGGCTGGATTGGAACTTGCTGTATGTAGCCCAGGCTAGTCTCAAATGTCTGTCTGATCCTCTCATTTCAGCCTCCTGCATGCCGTGATTACAAGCAAGAGATCAGACTACAGGAGGCACCAGCATGCCTGGCTTTGACTTTCTAAGTCTGGAAAGGAGATGAAGTTAAGCACTGCATTCTAGTTAATCACTTCACAGAGAACAACAGAAGAAAGTAAGAATGAGACTAAATTAATCTGCTTTAGATTACAATTACTAAAAGTTAACATTTGAAAACTTATTTATCTGAATTTCTTCTTAAACTAAACAGCATAGTATAATGGGGGGAGGGAGATAGAGAGATTGAGATTGATTGATTTTGATTATAAAAGATGGCTTGGGGAATCACCTAAATGGAATGATATAGTTGTGACTAATGATCTATGGTCTTATTTAAAGACTATTATTTTAAGATAGTGTGCACTTGTGGCTCTCATTCACAAAAGAATAGAATGAAGCTGACACCTGTCATTAAAAGGTTTCAGTCTAGTATATACTTAGTATCAAAAATCATGTGATTAGCCGGGCGGTGGTGGCGCACGCCTTTAATCCCAGCACTCGGGAGGCAGAGCCAGGCGGATCTCTGTGAGTTCGAGGCCAGCCTGGACTACCAAGTCAGTCCCAGGAAAGGTGCAAAGCTACACAGAGAAACCCTGTCTCGAAAAACCAAAAAAAAAAAAAAAAAAAAAAAAAATCATGTGATTACCAGGAAAGTTGTTGAGTGTGAACTAACATCTGGACTTGAATTAACACTTGCATCTGCACCATCAGTTGTCAATGACACTTCCAGTTGGGACTGCAGTGACAAGAGCTATAGAAAGCTAACTGGAATACGAGGTTGATAATAACTTACAAGTAGGGGTCATCTGTCCTTGCCATCAGACGTTAGCCTGTACATCCCCTAGTTCACTCAGGAAATATGTCACTTAGATCTCAAGGTATTGCATCCCTCTCTATGTACATCAGTAGAGACAAAAGATAATCAGTAACTGGCCCTTCTTTAAGGCAAGATTCAGTCATCTCAGTGGGAAAATATGCCATATTTCAAGATTTGTCAAATAGAAGACAAACAGAAGATTGAAAGGTACCTAAGAGATCAAGTAGTAATTGCCATTGACACACAAAATGGCTCTTAGCCTAGTTTGGGTGCAGAGAGATTGATTTCCTGGAGGAAGTAATTTCTTGGCTGAAAACTGAAGGGTGTGGCACGATGGCTCAGTGGGTAAAGGTGCTTGCTGCCAAGCCTAAGGACTGGAGTTCGACTCCTAAATCAAACTTTTGACTCACATGAAGGAAGGAGGGTTAGATGGTAAGTAGAAGATAATCATATTTTTATGGGCATAGGAGAGAGCTTCTAAGGGAGAAGAAGCTACATGAATTTGCTGGAGCAAGTATCCCCAGCTCTTCTCATCCTTTTCTTCTCCAAGCAGAATAAGCAAACACTGGGAAATAAGCCTGTAGACTTGCTAAGAAACACTTAAAGACAATCTATCTTAAAAGCAAGTGGAAGTTTTAAGTACAAACAGGTTTAAATTTCAGAAATGTTACTCTAGATCAGTGGTTCTCACCCTGTGGGTGGGTCATCATGACCCTTTTGAGGGTCGAATGACCCCTGTGAAAGATATTTACATTACAGTTCATAATAGTAGCAAAATTATAGTTATGAAGTAGCAACAAAATAATTTTGTGGTTGGGGGTCACCACAACACGAGGAACTGTAGTAAAGGGTTTGCAGCATTAAGAAGGTTAAGGACCATTGCTCTAGATGTACTGAGTGCAATTAGAAAGAAATTAGATGTGGAAACCAGTTAATGAAGCTCTTACAGTAATTCCAGGTATGCGGATATACTGACCTGAATTACCCGTGGCAACAAAATTAAGTGATTGGCTTGGAAATTTTTAAGGTCTTAATGACTAATTCGATCCAAAGAGTGAAAATACAGAGAATTTAATGGAACATATTTTTGGCTTGGGCAATTACAAAGTTGGTAAAGGTAATTTTTATTTAGATTCTCAATATAAAAAGAGGCAATTTAAAGAAAAACCAGGAGGCTATTACTTCTTAGGAGAAAGGTCTTGGGGTGACTGAAAGGTTAACAAGTATTAACTGCCTTTCAGGCATATTTAGGAAGTAAAAATTAGTAAGGCTTGGCAATTGCCAGTATGTGAAGTGCATAAAGTTTGGAAGGAGTTAGAAACGACATTTGAATTTTGCGGTAGATTTGGTGGGTGACCACTGTGGCACACAACTAGGCATAAACTCTTTCTATTCTGGTCTCGGTATGAACATTTCTTTGCAATGCAATTCTGTCACTTTTCTCATAGGCTGGAGGCTATTTACCGGTGGCTTTCTCTTCAGTTTCTCTTTGACAAGTCTAATGTGATGGAGTTGGGATGTTTAGACAGTGGGAGGATCTTGCTTTCTATTTTCAGTCTTTGTCTCCCAGGAGGGATATGTGATTTCCATGGCAAGGTCTTAAGAGGCACTGTAAGCTTTTGCTCTTTTGGAGTGTTGTCCTGAGCTGGCTGTGAAAAATGAGTTAGTCCATTCTAGTGGGGGATGAGAGGTTAAAAGCAGCTAATGGCACTGATTATGAATTATGGTAGCTTTAGATTTTTAATTAACTGACTAGCTCAAATCAGTGCATACATGAGGGACCTGCTTCACCAACTTAAAGGATGCTTAAAATGTTTAAGACATTGATTTTGGGTTTTTCTTGGGGTGGATGGTACTTACAAAACCATGGTCTATTGAAATTTAGATAGTATAGAAAGTAGTTTGAACTTGTAGTGCTAAGAAACCACTAATTTCTAAAGTCTACAAAGTTTAGACGGATGTTTCCCTAAGAGTTAGGGCCTAAGTAATTTCTTAAGTACCAGGTGTCTGAATAACAACATTGTATAGCAATGTGAGAAGTCAAGAACCTACCCGTTGGACAAAGTAACAAAAGTAGAGACAATATTTACAAATTACTTTCTTTGTATGAAAAAGTATAAGTATTTATAGACTTATGGTATATTAACTTTCCAAATCTTGGACAAATCACTTAAATACCCTAAGTAGAAGACATGTAACTATGGATGCAAACTTCCATAAAGAGTTTACCGATATATACTTGTTTCATAAGTAGCTAAGTAAGTCAAAATTAGGTTTCCTCCTTTAAGAGATTTAGAATCCATGCATTTTTGTTAATGAAGAAAAAGGCTTGTCTGGACCAAAACCACGAAGATGTCCCTTTAAGGTTTGGGAGTCTTGTCGTAAGGAATGGTAGTTTCATTCATTTCTGTCCCATTAAAAGAAACTTCCCTCCTTTCTACTGACTTTATGTACCCACTGCGTTCTTGAAAAAATCGATTTGAGCTGCCTGAAGTGAGAAGACCATCACCTCTAGAGCTCCAGCCGGAATTCTATCTGCCACGTCTCATTCCGGATGGAAGCGGCCACTAAGGAAGTCCGTTCCAAGGGCGGTCCCCTGCGTGGCCGCGGGTTTGACCTTTCTCATCCGAGCCCTCCGACGGGCCCCGAGGCATCCACAGAGGCGACCCACACTCACCGCTTGAAATGCAGTCACCAGCAGCAAGCGCAGCCCCAGAACGGGCCGCAGCCACCCAGCCTGCCGGGTCGCCATCCCTGCGGTCCCCCGTCAATCTTCAGGGGCTTGAGGCCCTCTGTACCGGGGACGTCCACTGTAATGCCTGATGCGAAGCCTGCCGCGAGAGGCCACTGCCACAAGTCTATTATCCCACAGAGGCGAATATTACTCAGGCGACCAAAGGAACATAAAAGTGATCGATTATTAAAAAGTCGTCAGGTTCTTTCAGAGATTAAAATCAGGCATTTTCTGAGACTCCCCACACCGGTACTTCTCATTCTCGACAGTATGTCGGATCTCTACGAAGCCCCAGCGCCTCCATTACTAGCCCCGCCTCCCTCTCCGAATTTACCCAATCAAATACCGCCTTGCTTGAGTCCTCTGTCAAGGAACCCAACCGTAAATCGAATCAAAAGGGCGCTAAGCGGCCGCTCTTCGGACCAATGAACGCCACTGTACGGGAGGATGGGGGTGGAGCCTCTGGTTGCCGGGCAGCGTGCGTCAAGGCGTGCGCGTGGTGGCCGAGGGGGAGGGGAGGGGGCGGGCCGAGGGCGGCGCAGCCGCAGCCGCAGCGCTGCTAGAGGAGCGCGCGGCCGCGAGCGACCGAGGGAGGGAAGGGAGGAAGCGAGGGAAGAGGGCGTGCGGCCGCGGGGTCCCGAAGCCAGGCGGCAGCGGCAGGAGGGCGCCAGGGCCGTCGGGTGGGCTGAGGAGAAGCGTGCACCGGGCGGCCGGCGCTGGCTCCTGCGGGCGGGAGACCGGAGCGGAGGAGGGGGTCGCTGCGGCGCGGCAGTCCGCGCAGCTCCCGGGTCGGGGTCTCCTCCCGGCGCCTCGGTCGCCCGCGGGGCCCCGCTCCCCGCCCCCCGCGGTATGTCTTGATCTCGAGCAGCGGGTTTCATGGGGCTCCTCAGGATTATGATGCCGCCCAAGTTGCAGCTGCTGGCGGTGGTGGCCTTCGCGGTGGCGATGCTCTTCTTGGAGAACCAGATCCAGAAGCTGGAGGAGTCCCGGGCGAAGCTAGGTGAGGCAGCCGAGCGATGCTCCGGGCCCGGGCTGGCGGGTGGGCATTGCCGGCTATAGCAAGTGGGCGTCCGCAGGGGTCTCGGAGAGTCCGGAGAGCTGGGACCCAGGCACGTCGAGCTCCCGCCACCAGGGAGTGACGAGCTGCACGCGCAGGGTCTCCGGCCAGAGGGCTGCCCCGTCGGCCCTCCACGGAGAGAGGGGAACGAAGTCTGCATGGAGCTGGTGCTGCTTGGAGGACAAGAACGTTCATCCTCTAGTCCCTTCCAGTCGTTCTGGAAAGCCCCAGCTACGTGCAGCGATGGGGACTGGAATTTGAATTAGGGGCACCTGGGCACAGGATCGTGTGGGGATGGTGGTCGTGGGGAGGTTCATCGAGGGAGATGGGCAGAAATGGACGGAGACTCCGGGAATGATGGGGAGTAAATGCAGCTCACTGTAGTGAGTGGCATGCCTGAGCTGAGGGCAGCAAGGGACCTTAGAACTGACTCTATGGGTAGACTGGCCATGTGGGACAGCGGAGCAGATGAAAAGCTCTGACGGTCCTGCTGTGAGACGTCTGGGGGACTGAAGTTCTTTATGAGTGACGCTGAACTGCTTGATGATTTGGGCTTCAGAGTAAGGTCATTAAGTGTAGGTTGATTGCATGTACAAGCGTTGAAGGTTCGGAATTACGGTATTTACCTTGGGAAAGGAATAGAGTGGGGAAAGCTAACCATATGGGTATCTTAGAGCGTTTCTGTCAGTGCTGGAATGGGTATAGACGCCTGAAACACTAAACTGGAATGTGAAGTTGTGCAACAGCAGATGAAAGCGCGGATGGTCGGTGCTTCCGGATAGTGGAGAACTTTGGTATTTGGAAGTGCTGTGGAAACAGGGAGACTTAATGACTGACGCGTTTTGATTTAAAAATGTACGTGGCACTTAAAAATCAGCTCAGGGGATGTAATTTGAGTATGGGAAGCGGTTCTTGCATACACTTTTCACCTAGCCAGCTTCTTAAATACGATTTAAAGTTACCCCGAGGAACAGCTAGATGTAACTGGGGGTGCGCATTAATTTTTTTTAAAAAGCACCAGAAAATAATTAAATTTTAGATATAGTCGCTATTTCCAAGTTTTGGTAGATTTTACAAAAGCCTTGAACACATTTTAAAGAATAGTGTTGTCAAAGAACGTTAAATGCATTTGATTGATGTACGGCTACATTTAAAGAGGAGCCAAAGCTGCTAGAGTGAAATGTGAAGAACTATTGAATTTATTTACTGTAATTTAAAAAGATCTTGTATGCTAAAAGTTACTCACTTTAAATGTTGAAGGTTAAACCATCTGATCCCTTTGCTTTTCATACGGCTCCGTCTCCACAGCATTTACAGTCATACTCTGCTTCATTCATAACCCGATTTTACAGGAAAAGAGTGACTCATCTTAGAAGTTAGTTAAAAATCAGGATTTGTATTTATTCTTTTTTGTGTTGTTATTTGGAATACTCTAGATGTATTTCCTTAGAAACTGCGGATTTTCCTCCTTGCCTACCTTTTTTTTTTTCCTGCAGTGTTTGAAAGTTGTTTCTATACGCCACCTGAAGGATTTTAAAAGCAAACTTCTATACGCCAACGGAATGATGTAGAATGCCACAGGTAGAATAATGGGCTTCCTTGTGATTTTCATTTAAGACAAAAAAAATCGTTTGCCAGGAATAATAAGCGTGCATCAAAATAAATAGCTATATGGGAAACAGCAAATATCTACCAGAATACTCCAGGGCTGACCATGAGGGTCAGGCCTGTAATTCCAGCACTCTAAAATCTGATGCCAGAGGATGGTAGGTTCAAGACCAGGATGTGCTGCTACATAGCCCTACCCTGTCTTTAAAAAAAAAGGACAGCTTTCAAAAGTAAAAACACCAAAGTATCTGGAGATGCAGACATGACAGAGAAGATGTATACACCTTTATGTCAGTTCATTAATCTTCTGATTAGATTTTTTCCTAAATATTTTTATTTTTAAAAGACACGGGTTCTATGGGTTGTCCAGGCTGGACCTGAACTCCAGGCCTCAGTTGTTTTTCCTTCCTCAGCCTTGAGTAACTGTAGATGCCCTCCATCTGGCCTCCTTCCCACTCCCACCCTTTCAAAAATAAGTCTTGTTTAAGAGGCAGTACTGAAAGAGCCAGTGTCCATATTCTGACTCTTCAGGAAAGAAAAAGGGTCAGGCAGTCACTAGGTAACTTCCGTCTGTGATACTCTTATTTAGTCTTCCAAGAACACTAGAGCTACCCATTTTTCAGATACAGAATAATCCTTAAAGTATATAATTTGCCTAAGACTGTATCGCTAGTGGCAGAATCAGAATTGGAACTCAGGTATGTTTGATTCCTAATTGAGGACTCCTGTAATTACACTAGGCAATTTCAGACTTTCTACTGACATTATACTACAATTGAGCTGTTTGAATAGCATTTATAAATTGTATTATCAATGCATGTATTGCTGAGAATGAATATCATTCTGAGAAAACTCAATTTCTGACACAAAGGAATTGGTTTAATGTCTTGCCCCTTGTTTATATCCATGTAATGAACATAATTATATTACTCAATGAAATGGACTGAAATAGCTTGTTTCTGCTATTGAAGAAGAAAATCTTTGGTTGTTTGCTGTAATTGTAAAACTGCAACATTAAAAAGCATTTTTATTTTGGCACAGGAAAGCTAATGAACATTTTGCCCTTAAAAGTAGTTTTTGTTGTTTATTTGGTTGCTGTTGTAGAAGGTTCCAAAGGATTTTAATGTCTGTCTGTTAATGACTGTAATGTGACTTGGTTAAAGTCAACAATATCCTGATGGTGAGAGCTCTAATAAAGCAATAGGTGTATTCAAAACTACACTGTATTCATTGGCCTCTTGGGAAATTACCTAAATAGAAATTCCTACAGCTCCCAGTATTACAGTTTTCCTTAAAGCAAATATTCCTACAGTTTATTGTTATATATTACCCTACAGCTTGTTTTTTTATTTAATATTATAGGTCTCTTTCTATGTCAGTACATCTAAATCTCACACATTCTAATGGCTGTATAATATTCCAAATTATGAATGTATCCTAAATTACTATATCAGTAGTAAGTAGTCATTGTGTCTCTATAACCTCCCCCACTTCTAAAGCTTTTTTTCTTGTTATTATAAACAATGTTGAAAGCATCTTTATGTGCCTCTCTTTACCCATTAATGTCATTTTTTCACTAGGGGATGTCTGGGTCAAAGGATACATATTACTTGCCATTTTTTACCCCCAAAGGTTACAGTAATCTATATTGCTAGAAACCCTTGCTTGGGTTTAAATTTTGCCACTCTGGGGCTTTGAAATGATATGTTGTGAAATTAACTCACATTTCCTTAATTTTTTGTTAAAATCTTTGCATTGTTGATTGCTTCTTAATTGTTAGTTCTTGTTCATTGGATAATTGCTACTTTTTTGTTATTAGGCTTTTTAAATATTAAGGTAAGTAATTCGTCTGCTCTTACGTCTGCTTTTCTCTAAGGCTGCACTTGTCTCTCAGCTGTGGTGTATTTCGCTTATACAGACAGGTTAATTTTACACCAATTTTATCAGAATGTGCCTCCGAGCCCAGACTTAAACAGGAATCAAATAAACCTAGGGCTTCCTGTGATTAAGGCAGGCTACCAACTGAGCACATCCCCAGCCAGAAATTTGAGTCAAATCTTGTCATATGGAGTGGGAGAAGATATTTGCAAAACATACGTCTGATAAGAGGTTAATGTCTAAGATGTTTAAGGAACTCAACTCAGTAGTAAGAAATAATCTGATTTAAATGATCTGAAAAGACATTTTTCAAAAGAAAATTGCCAATTCTTATATACGCAAGAATACTCAGTATTAGTAATTGCCAGGAAAATACAGAATGAGATGTTATCCTACATAACTTAGAATGGCTGTTACCAGGAAGTTGGAAAACAACAAGTGTTGGAAAAATGGATAATAGGAAACCCTTTACACTCTTGATAGGAATGTAAATTAATAAAGTCAGTATGAAAAATGGGATGATGGAGGTTCATCAAAAAATAAAAGCTAGACTTGCCTTGTAATCCAGCAGTTCCACTACTGGTTCTAGGTTCTTAGAAAATGAAATCAGTATGTCAAAAAGATTTCTGCACCATCCTGTTTATCGTAGAATTATTTACAACAGCCAAAATACACAGTTAAACTTAGGGTCCATGGATGGATGAACAAAGAAAATTTGTCACACATGGACAGTTGAATGCTACTTAGCCATGAGAAGAATCTAGAAGAAATTAAGTGGGATAAGCCAAGCACAGAAAGCAAGCACTACATGATCTCACTTATGTGTGGAATCTAAGAAACTTGGACTTAAGAAAAGCAGAGAGTGGATTGGTGGTTACTAGGGACTGGAATTTGAGGAGTAAGAGATGGGGATATATTTAAAGAACACAAACGTTTAAATAAATTGGAAGAATAAGTTCAGATTTCTGTTTACATCGTGGTAACTAGATGAGTTACTTTTTCTGTTGCTGTGAGGAAAGCAGCTTGAGGGAGAGGTTTTGTGTTGGCTCACAGTCTGAGTTACACAGTCATGGCAGGGAAACTATGGTGGTAGGAGCTGGAAGCAACTGGTCACATGGCATCCACAGCCAGGAAACAGTCATGGATGCTGGTGCTCGGCTTGCTTTCTCTTTTTTTATTCTGTCCAAGATTTCTCAAGGAATAGTAGTACTCACAGTTGTGAACCTGATCTAGATAATCACTCACAGGTGGCTCAGAAACATAATCTAGATAATCACTCACAGGTAGAGGCTAATCTAATCTAGATGATCCCTCATCTGCATGCCTAGAGGCTTGTCTCCAAGGTGATTCTCGATCCTGTCGAGATGACAATATTAACCATTCCAGTGACTATAGTGAATGGCAGTGTCTGCTTACAAATTTGTGAATAAACCAAGTATGTCATAATAAAAACTAAG